AGGCGTATTCTTCGTCGGCGTTGGGCGTTGGGGTAGCGTTAGGCCTTAGTTAAAACGTCGAGGAGGGTTCTCTAGTACTAGAGGAGGTATACGTAAACGGGGCTATCCTTATATCGACTATAGGTATATTTTACCTTCCGGAGACGATAGAATAGGTATTTTAAGCYCTAGAGCGTATTATAGTAGCGTTAGGCCTTAGTCGAAGCGTTAAAGAGAGAGTTAGTATAGTATATCTAGTAAGCTCTTATATAATATTAGATATTACTCGCCTTATACTAGAGCTATTATCCTAGGATTTTAATACGATGTAGATTAGTATCTAATCTAAAAGATCTGAGCTTTTTATTTTACTAGCATTCTTACTAAATTTAATATATCTAGTACCGTTTTAGTATCTCGCTTATTTCTAACCCTAGTAACTAGCTTTAGATATAAGATATAAGCTATAACTAATAGCCCATATCTATTTAATATACTAATTAATATAATATATTACTATAAGAATATCTAGTATAGAGGTAGTACTCTAGTATAAGGGTTACTAGGTTTTTAGATAATACGTAATAACTCCGGTATTTTACGAGCTATTATATTATTTACTATATAAAAACTGTTCTTCTCGTCTAGAATATACTATAGATACTTATTTTTATCTTATAAATAGCTAGCGCGACGATAGAGTAGCGCCTAGTTCCTTAAGTCTAAAAGTGGACCCGCTATAGCTCTTATATTATATATTATCTTAGAAATTTTAGTATTTCACACATCCTAGGGGTTAGCCGAGTGGTTATTAGCTACTATCCTCCACTATAAGTATATAGTGATTTAAGTGGGCTAATAACTTGGTCGGAATGGCAAAATCTACTTCGTCTGTCTAGATAAGTTCTATCTTTCTAATAAGAACTACTACTAACATCTCTTAGAACCGGCACGATATCGCCGCGACGTATTAACCTTACCCGTAGCTCCGCCGCCGAGCTAATCGAGACGCATTCGACCCTTACGGACTAAGTTATAGCTCTAATTAATAGAGTTAACTCTCTAGAAGAGAGTATCCGTAAGTCTATCTAATAAACTACTCGTAATATAACTATATACTAATAAACTACTATCTAGGGGCCTTAATAGCTATGTTGCCATAGCAACTAGCTAGTAAGTATTAGGTTAATATATATAGCCTTTACTAATAATCTAGCTACTATCTCTACTACTCGAGTAGAGGTAAACGAGCCTTCTACGCTAATTCCTGCTTTCGGATCCGGATACTACGACGAGTATACATTCGAGTAGCTTATCGACCCACAAATGTTCTCTTAGGGAGGATAGGAGGGTAGGGGGGAGGGGGGGGGGGGGTAGGAGAAATAGAGTAAAGGGAAAGTAGAGGAGGATTTCTTTTTATATAACTCCTATACTTAGTTATATAGTATATACTATTTTTTTATACCTTATACGTTATATTAGAGGCTAGTAAAGTATATCTAAGTCTATAGTATAATAGTAAACTAGTACGTATTTCTTTTATACGTAGTTACTATTAGATACTACTACTTAGTATAACTATACTTTTAGTATATATTACTTATAGTATTACCTTTATTAGGTTATATAAAGATGTTTTATATATATAATATCTACTATCTTAATAGTTAATACTAAATTTTATATTACGAGGATAAGATATCTATTATAGCTTCCCTATTATAATACCTAGTCTATATTATATTATAAGCGTTTAAGACCTATCCTATCGTCTCCGTAGGGTCTAATATACCTATTCTATACCCTACTATATTTTTAGACGCGCTAGT